TAACCTTTAAGTAAAATTATACTATATTGATGAACCTATCAGAGTTAAAAATAAAGTCTACCGGATTTTAGCAAGAAATTAAACGATAGGGGAATAGACTATATCTTACATAACAGATAAACTAATGTTTAATTACTAAAATGATTAAAATGTATAAATATGAGAAAACTAAAGAATAAGAAATACAATTTATACATTTGTGAGAGTAACCTACAAGATCTTGATATTTGTAATTGTTGGGGACGATAGATCTCCCAAAACTCACATTTTGTAATTTTATCTTATCGATTAACTTATCGATTAAGTGTTTAAGTATTTGAGTGGTAGTCAATTGACGAACTTATTGATGAATGTTTAAAAATTTATATGACAATATCGATTATATGTATATATTTGTATAAATACGCTTGATTTGTGTGCCTGATTGACCTGGTATCAGCTGGTTGCCTGTAGAATACACTCTCTACGTCTTACCAAGAATTCTTGATCGAGTTAACTGAGTCGGGGACAACGGAGCAGAATAGCCTATCGAGTCTATGAATCCTTGATCCTTCGTTCCGTTCCGAGTAAGATGAATCAGTAGTAGCATTCAAGCTTAACGAACCTAGCAGAAATCAAAGAACTAACTGAATACTTGTTACTTCATGTAACGCAATAAAGTATTGGTTAACTTGATTCCTATTTATCATTTCTAATGTTGTTTTCTAAATGTACCACTTATTTTTAGGAATAACACAACCTTTTAATCAAATTTCATAGCCTTTTTGAATATCTACTTTAGACATTGTAAGAATGTTTACAGACTAAAAACTGTAGAGAGTGAAATAAAGATGAATAGTAGCTAGCATTGGAATGGAGGACGCTCGTTTAATCCTATTCGGGACTCGAATACAGTACCGTTCGCTTCAAACGCCATTGCGTTATCCACTTAGCTACTGGGTCCTCATAGCCACTTGGTATCGTTTTCAAGTAAAACAATACTAAACGGATTCAAACTTCACCCCATTGAACAAACAAGTGGCTATCAAGAGTCAGTAGCTAGGTGGATACGGTGATGGTGTTTGAGGCAAACGGTACTGGGTTCGAGTACCAGAGTGAACGTCAACAAGTCTGAGATGCAATTACATCTGGCTGACGAGTCCCAAATAGAAAGAAACGCGCGTCCTTGATTCCACTGCTAGCCACTATCCATCTTTGCTTATAATGCTTGTAAATTAAGGCAATATTAAGGCAATACGCACAGTATGCACATATGCCAATAACAGACTGATCAATTGCAGTCCTAAATATCAAAGGGAACATTCAAGTAAAACAATACCAAGTGAATGTAGAGCGTAAAGATTAAACTATGGAAAGTATCATTATTCAGTGAAATGATCGACATTTATTAAAACATTCAATAAGTGTCTTGAAATTACCGTAGTTAATTTTCAGTATATAGAGATAATGACTCATGTTGAAATAAAACAATAATTAGTAATGAGAAGAGATTTGAACCGCTGTAACCATTAGAATACTATTCAATAATCTATCATTTATATCCTTTATGATTTTATTCAACTAATGAATGAGTTGATGAAGAATATCAACTCCGAAACAATACATACTTAACGAAAAAGAAAACACCTACTTAAGCGGAAAAGTAACAATCAAGCCAAAAGTAAAACAGCCTGTTGATTGTGATGTGTTCTGTGTGAGCTGAATGGTTTAATAGTTATGATGCATATAATTGACTTTCTGGATGGCATCATCAGTACGTACTGCAAAGTGTGTGCTGTTAGAATATTTCTCCATCATAATTGACGAAATAGCTTGTTCTGTTAACTTGGTATATGTTTGGTTGTTGTCTATATTTGTGCGACCCTTGTTAGCATGTTCGTCTTCACTTTCAACCTGGTCTATGAGCTTGAAATTGCCAACCCTTTTACATATTGGCTGATAGACTTTGTCAACCTCTACATGTCTATTAACTGTGATTGACTGAGGTACCAGGTTTCTGAATAATCTCTGGCTTCCTTTGCTTTAAGGACGAACAACTCCAAGGTCAGAGAACATGTTAGAAGAGAAAACAATTAATTTTTTCTGTAAGGCGTTATGTTCTACAAGCTAGATGATTTAGAGGTAAAATTGAGAGTTTTTTATGGAAGAATGGAACCTAGATCTCTTAACACTCAGTAGGTACATAGAAATGAACACATTCTATCAAATCAATAAATACAAGTTCAGAGGTGAAAAATTAAAAAAAAGTAAAACATGCCTACAACATTCACACAATAATAGACAACAACCAATTGAATTCCAGGTCAACAGAACAACAAGCTATTGATCAATTATGATAGAGAAATTGTCTCTTTGAATTACATACTGATAATGTCTAGAAAGATGATGATAAGCTTCACAACTATTCAACTTCAATGGTTGAAATCATGAGTCATTTGAAGCTAGACCACTATGGAATACCTGGAAGCACTGGACGACTGTTTCGTCCTAGTATGGGAATCCTCAAAAGTGCGCGTCCACGACCCCGCTCCCGCGAGATTCGAACCCAGGACCTATCATGATTTCAACTATTGAAATTTCTAAAATCTCCACAAAACACCTTCTAATAATAATCAACTACTCATTAGTTACTGATATCAAGAGGCATTTCCTGGAGTTCTAGGGAGAAGCCGTGATCAAGTGGAGTTCAACCAGGTCAGTTGTGAGATAGTAACTCAATGAAGATAATGGTGGATGTGTCGCGCAATTTCGTGGATTGGTTGAAGTTAAACATTAACACCGTTGGATGCTGGCCGGCTCAGTGGTCCAATGGTTAAGCGCTCGCTTGTGAGACTGATAGGTCCCGGATTCGAACCTCGCGGGAGGCGGGATCGTGGATGCACACTACTGAGGAGTTCCACGGTAGGACGAAACAGCCGTCCAGTGCTTCTTGGTTTACCATGGTGTTATAGCTCCAATTGACTCATGAATTCAACTATTGAAATTTCTAAAATCTCCACAAAACCCCTTTTGATAACCATTAAACTATCCAGCTCACAGAGAACACAATGCTCTTCATCCAGATGAAAATTCAAATGATTCAACAACGAATCATCATATCAAAAAGGTGAATTCAGAACAGAAATAAAAAAAAACTCAGACAAACAGATAAGTTAATTAAGAATAAGTGAGTGAAATAAATTCACTTGATGAATAGGTTTCTTTGAAGTGCTTTTCACTTATTTATTCTACGAATGTGGCGGGAAAAAAAAGGATATTAAAAGAAAAAAAGATGATGTAGAAAATAAAAGTAAAATAGAAATGGTAAGTGATATAGTGTGTATTATTCCCCTCTCCTTCACAAACAAACACAAATATATCACCAATATATATATACTTGGAAAGGGAAGGTAAAGTAAACATACAAACATTCGAAAATGAAGTACACTCCATGAGAGTTATTAATCATAAGTTACTGTTAATAATAATGCTATAAACGAAAACGATGTAGGTAAGCGTTTATGTGTGTATGGAGATGGATGGGTGGGTGCATGTACACATAAACATTTGTATGAATATCAACTTGAAATTGCCACTGTTGAGTGCTTCAATTTCAATATGAGAGACTAGAGTTATATACTACAGTAGTATTGTCTATCAAAAGTGAGGGCTAAATAAAGTAAGAGTATCATCCCTAAATATTATCGAACGATCATCTTCAAAACAAGTTGATAATGAACAAAAATCTATAGATATGGTATTGATCGATGTTGGGTAATAATCAACAGAATATAATGTCAACGTTTGTACACTTATTAGTAATTCAATATGACCTAAGATCATTTGTCATCTAAATAATTTAGTTGCAATAATTCTAATTGAAATAGTGAATGTTAAGTATAGTAAACGAATACTCAGATGGAATAGATCAATGTATTGTTTAATGCAAAATTACATAATACCTTCATAAAATATGAAAAACTATACATTAAATACACATCATCCTTTAGTTGTCCTTCGTAATCCTTCAAATTCTCTCTGTTAACATTCCTGTTTTGTTTTTGGTTTTTTCAATTCGATCCTCTTAATCTTCTGCTACTAGGCATTCAACTTTTGATTGATGTCACATACTACTTATATATGTTAATATAAGTAGCATACATCACAATAGTAGTAAGAATTTCTGAATGAAGAATCAACTTCTGTTATGCTCCGATAAAAATGATGAGTGGTAATTTTTGGGATCCATTTATGGACCAATACTATACGTATATTTTTATCGTATAATTGTTAGATAACTAAACTATAAATGTTCATGTCCCTCTTATTATGAGCATTATTTTGACCTATGAACTGTTATTATACGATTTTCTATTCTTGAATTATTCCCTGTTTATTAATCACCACCTCCCTCATTCACAGCCACTTTTGGCCAGATTTTGTACAAATGTTATTTTCTATTTTATGGTACGTTGTGATCTGTTCGATTGGTATATAAACTGAGTATGTTTGAAATACATGATTCATATCGCAGAGACTCGGATTAGTGTTCTGGACTTAACTGGCTGGGCTATGCAGGAAGCGAGACCAATCAGAACTCTAGGCTGCTCGTACGGGTTTACGCGTCATTGATCCGATCGATAAGTCACTGCTCTCTAATCAGCGGTCACAAGTTATAACAACTTCGTCATGTTTTGTTTATTTTCTTTTAAAAATATATACTACACTAATGAATACTAAACAGTATAAAGCATAGATCTATTGAGAAACCACCAATTATCTAAAATGTCACATTAACACATGCTTTGAATCTAATCAACAATATAATAATTTTGACTAAATTATTCAATAATGTAATTAGAGATACTATCTATGTAAGAAGATTGACATAATTAATTATCCCATATTACCAATATTCAATTGAATAATAGTCCCTTACACTTGTATATGAATAAATATAGATTTTGATAAATTATGATTACACAGAAATGTTTATATAAATAATGATAATAATCACTTACCATCACAATCAGCATCTTGAATCATTCGACGTACTTCATCTCGGGTTGTTTTAACACCAAGAAATCCAAGAACAGATTCTAATTCAGTTTCAGTTATTCGACCATCACGATTTACATCGAATAGAATGAAAGCTTCTCGGAGATCTAAGAATATATACAATTAAAAAATAATATAATAATAAATTTACGAATCAGTTTCAATTATGAATAATGATTAATAAATCGATAAAAACAAGTATTTACTTTGTAAGCCAAGAAGGATAGTGGGTAGCAGTGAAATCAATGACTTGTCAGCTGGTTGTGTCTGGATTCAGGATCTAAGTGGATAACATAAAGGTGTTTAAAGAGATAGGTACTGTGTTCAAGTCATGTAGTGAACGTAAACTCTGGGGTTCAGGTACATCCAGCTGACGAGTTACATATAGCATGAAACATAAGTAATCGATTTTACTACTGACCATTATTTATTTCTATTTACAATCCTCACAGAATGCACATATGCCAATAAGAGGCTGATCAATTGCATTCTTAAATGTCAATGAGAAGCTTCAAACAACCAAATACAAGATGAACTATTTACTTTGTAGAAGATAAGAAATCTTACAAGGTATATACACTCATTAAAGAGTTCAAGAAAATAGACTCTAAATCAATTGTGCTTTTTTTTTTGATAGAAATTTTCATCCTTCATTGATCAGATTCCATTAAGTCAATTTGAGTGAGGAAGTCAATACACATTATTGAAGAGTCATGAATAAGAATAACAAAATTTATATTTAAGATTAAGCACAAATTACTACTCTAAATAGCTGTAATCAATTTTCACTCATCATATTCAAAATCAACAATTATAGATGTTTAATAGTTAAGATCATGAGTCAGTTGAAGTTAGACCACTATAGAAGAACTGGATAGCCGTTTCGTCCTACCATGGAACTCCTCAGCAGTGTGCATTCACGATCCCGTCCCCCGCGTGATTCTAACCCAGGACCTATCAGTCTTTCATGCTAGAGTGAGTCATAAATAGATAATATATCTTCATTTAATCAATATGTAGTTTAATTACCGATAAATTAATTATATTCAGACTAGAACTGTGTATGAATTTACATTTTAACTAAATCAACTCATTCATCAATTAATTAAGTGTGAAAACTGGTTTATGATACTATACGATAGCAACTACGAATTGAAGTAGGTTAAATGAAATTTAAATCTGAGATTTAATGACTAAAAGTTGAGAACGGTTTACTCACAATGTTTACTAGCAAATTAACACACGAACGTGGTATGAATCAACACTAATTATCCAACACTAAGACATAATGTATGAAGAATTGAGTGAGTTTGACTACTGATGATTATATGGTAACTTACTCGAAAAAATTTGATCAGTGATGAAGGTTACACAAAGAAGAATGATCATTTGTTGAAATGTATATGTGTAAACTATGAATTGAAATGGTTGTATAGAATGAAAAGTACACATAATTTCATCGTTGCCTAATGAAAAAACCTTATTTGTAGTATTTGTTTACTCTTTTTTCTGCTGTGTACAAATCATTATGATTTAATGGACATGGAAATAAGTTTTGTCAATCATAAGTTATCTTTGAACGACACAGTGTCCTTTATATAAACAATCATTTACACAAGATATGTATATATTATATATTATGCCTAACGGACTGAACAATATCAACTGATAACGATCAGTCTTACTGACTATTTATGGAGATTGTTAAAATTATATGACATTCAACAAAGATTGATCTTAGTTAGATAGCTATTTAAAGTCAGAAATCATTAAATGATAGGTTTGTCCTAGTATGGGACTCTTCAGCAGCGCATATTTACAATCCGACGGATGATAAAGCTTAGAAATGTCAGATTTTGCAATAAATATCTAACGCTTTCGATAGCTAAGCTAATTATGTTTTGTGATGTTACACAATCCTCTTTCAATGCCACTAATGGGCAACTAGCTCAAAATCGATTTGGTTGAACCCAATTAGTTATTGATAATAACTGGAAAGTCGAGAATTACCACTTGAAATCATTTATAAGTGGTACATGTTTATTACTATCCTATAAGGGTTCAGTCAATCAATTTTGTAAACGGTAAAATACATTCTACCTCCATTTTCTTTTAATAAAGTCATCACTTTATTACCAAACATTAAGTTTCATAGTTAACCAAGGATAAGTGAGATAACAAACTCCATGCTTTTAGAATTGGTTGATTACTGAGTGGTGATCAATGTCATGTGTGTCAAGTCCTTCTTAGTGCAGATCAAATGCTATCGACCATGTTGCAATGTGGCCACCAGTCTAAGTAACTCGACACTGCGTGCCCTATTGTGAGATTAGATGGTGTTTGGAGGTAGTCGACAGGAAACCCTGGACCCGGGTTTCGTCCTACAGGAGGTCGGTTGCGGCCCTGCTAGCTCAATGATAACCTCTGTGACTGTGAAGCTGGGTGACACGGAATCGAATCCGCCAGGGAGCACCAGATCCCTCAAGATTACAGGTACAGCTTGCTGACGAGTGTCAAGTAGCACGAAACCCCGGTCCAGGGTTTCCTGTCGACTACCTCCAACCATCATCTAAACATCCTTTACACATTGTAGAAAGTTCACATCAAATAGGTAAAAATTTGGTTTTATTCTGAAGTTAATGTTTAAATTGCACTAAATCTGTTATATTTTAGTTTAAGATTTTACTCTCTCAATATGAGGAAAGTCATAGTAACTCATAGAAATCAATTAATCTCTTTATTTTAGTTATTTCCCTAGTCAAATGATCACTTGAAAACTACAATTATATTTTTCTGTTTTTTGCATAATCGATTTTATTACATAACTGATTGGATTAGATATTTATCCATTAACTATTATTATTATTATTTTTCACCTGTATTACTAAACTCAAACATATACATTATTAGTTGACAAGTAAATAATTGATTAAATATCGATTTCTAATTCTATGGTAAGACTTATCAATTGTTAAATTTCATTAAAATCATGAATTGATCCAAGTTAGATCACCTTTGAAAACCTGAAAGCATTGGACGGTCATATTGTTCTAGTATGAGACGTCTTAGGAGTGCGGATCGAGGATTGTGCACGCTAGAATCGAACACAGGAACTTCAGTCTCAGGCGCGAACACCTGAATTCAATAGTTAGTTTAATCATGATAATAATGAAGAGGCAACTGAAAAACAGAATAATTTAGTTGCTAACGTTTCAGATTATCCCATTGTTGATATTTTGACTGGAATTTGATCAGTCTTGGTTGACATATGTGCATCCTATCCGGATTACTTCGATATAGACATTATGACACAAGTATACATAGAGTATATGGAATATGGCTAACAGTGGGATCTAGGACTCGGGTATCTTTCTATTTGAGACTTATCGGACGAGTTCAAATGCATGCAGCACTCATCTTAAAACTATTAGTGAACGTGAATATACTGTTACAGATTAAATTTTTGTGTAGACTAGCTTAATTTGAACGTGGTATTTATCACAGAATCAGTTGCTTTACCACTAGAGACTAAGGGAAATTGGACAGCTTTTTGTCCTAGTTTGGGACTCTTCATCAGTGTGTATCCACAGCCTCGACACGGAGGCAATTCAGGTCTCACAGTAAAACCTAACTATTAGATAACTGAGTGAAAACTTGACCATTCACATCTTCAACTTTAATCAATTCATGATATAGAACAACAGTCATCCAATGTTGTAGGTAACTACTATCTCATTCTCAAAAAGCTTAAACTACAGTGGTCACAACTTCTAAGACTTAAAAAAAAATTTTACAAAGTAAGTCATTACCGACGATCGAAAGTCAAGGTTTAACTCTTGATATGTTTGTCATTGTAAACAATGACAAATTTAAGTTCAACAAGAACCAATCAACATCGAGATGTATAGAACAAGCTGTGAAACGCATATGGAGAAATACGAACACTTCACTTCTATTTGAAGTTTGTGCTGATGATTTCGTTCAGAAGAACGATGAAAGCTCCACGACCAAACTATCCAGCTCAGAGAACAAGATTCCATGAAAATCATCCACCTATGCTACAAATCTTCTCCACCATCTCAATTACTCAATAGTCCCTGGTTTTCAATGGTACCTATCATCAATCTCAATTGAATGTCATCTTCAAACTAAACTAATCCTCATTCAATAAGATTATTAACCAGTTAACTATTGATTCATTTTAAACGAAAAAACAAAAACAAAATAACCAGTGTTTACACTTTTCATCATCTGTTCATTTTTCATGCCTATTTCCTTTTTAACTATTAACTTCTTTAATCTCATACAAATCACTGAAAAAAACAAACTTGAATAAACAAAAGAAAATTAAGTTGTATAATTTGAAACATTGACATGTTTCTTTCACTATATATATATATATATATATATATATATATATATATATATACTGCTAGGTTTGAAGCGGTTACGAGTTCACTTAATCTACGACCGGAACAAAGACTCAGTGACCAAAAACAATAAGCTAGCTATTCGATGCGTTCCAGTCCCGCTAACTAGAGGAAAAAGTTCAACCTTGGAATGAGGGAAGTATATTCCGCAAAAAGCCAGAAAACGAGCGATAACAACAGACACAAAAATCAAAACGTATATATACAGCACAAAACTGTCCTTGAGGAGAGTTAAAAAAAAGTATACTAAAAGATACAACGGACTAATATCTCTCAAGTGGGAAATACGACATGAAGGTGAAAAGAGCTCTTTTAGGGCGAAAACAAAGAAATTCAAATTTTCTAAATAAAATTAAAAAATTAAGTCTTTTTCCAAGTGAGTTCTGGGGATCTAACGTCCCCAACATATATGATAGAACAAATGAGGTCATGTTGATGAAATCATTTTAAGATATACTTTACTACTAAGTTGAAAAAAGATAAACATCTTTTGGTTTGATGAAAACTATCAAAATATATTGATAGTTTCCAGAGAAAATAAACAAACAAACAAACAAAGAAATAAGATCAGAAGGGGTTTTGTGAAGATTTTAGTAATTTCAATAGTTGAAACCATGAGTCAATTGAAGCTAGACCATCATGGAAAACCTGGAAACACTGGACGGCTGTTTCGTCCT